TCGATTCCCAGCACCCACATGGTGGCTACAAACCATCCTTAACTCCAGTTGTAGGGGAATCCGAAGCCCTCTTCTGACCTCCGTGGCATTGCATGACACGGGTGCACTCACATACATGCAGTCAAGACACTCGTACACATAATATTTTTTTAAAAGTGTGATAAATAGTATTAATAAATTCTAGTTAAAATTGTTTTCTCTCAAACAGATGGAGAGGCTGGGGAATTTGGCTTGGGGGTAAATGCCTGCCATGTAGGCACAGGGACCAGAGTTCAGGTCCCCAGCACACATGTGAAAGCCAGGGGGTGACACACTGTTGTAACCCTAGCACTCAGGAGGCAAAGACAGGCAGGTTCCTGGAGCTCTTCAGTTGGCCAGTCCAGCCAGTCAGTGAACTTCAGGTGCAGGGAGACTCTCTCTCAAGAGAGAAAGGAGCTGAGCATTGTGGCTGGGTCTTTAGTCCCAGCACTCAGGAGGCAGAGGCAGGAGGATCTCTGTAAGATCGAGGCCAGCTTGCTCTACATGGAGAGTTCCAGGCCAGGGGCTAAAAGGAGACCCTGTCTCAAAAAACCAAGATAAGGGCTGGAGAGGTGGCTCAGCAGTTAAGAGCACTGGCTACTCTTGCAGAGGACCCAGGTTCGAGTCCTGGCACCCACATGGCAGCTAACAAATCATCTATAAGTCCAGTTCCAGGGGAATCCAACGCCCTCTTCTGACCTCTGTGGGCACTGCACAACACAGGTACACTTATATGAAGGCAATACACTCATACACACAAAAATAAAAAAATCCAAAGTATTTTTAAAAAACAAGATAAAGTGGGGAGACATAGAAGGAGATGATGGTTGTCGAGTTCTCAGATCTGAGCACACACACACACACACACACACACACACACACGAGGAATGGGGTGATACACATTAGTATTGACAGACAAACCGAGTTCACACTGAGGCCACTCAAGCCTAAGAAACTTGAATTTGGCGGTTTGTATCCTTGAAATGAAGGCGACCTTGACGGTCAGTGAGCTGTGCTGCCACCAACAGAGGCAGACCCAGCTTCAGAGCAGAAAGGGTCACAGGGAGGAAATGCACCTATGACCCCCAGGCAGGGCCCCAGGAAGTGCTCACAGGACAGAGAAGAAAAGAGCATCCGTCCGTCCCGGGGCCCATGTGACTTGACAGTTACATGTGTCTGCATCTTCTCTGTCAGGTCTCACTGGCCACAGAGCCCCAGACAGCTGACCTGACCTGTTAACATACAGAAACCACAGCTCAGGCCAGGATTTCAGCTTTGCCATTACGAAGGCAGAGACTGGACCATATAGAATATATATGACTTCTGCCATGGATCCTGGAATCTCTTTGTTGTAAAGATTTTTTTTGACCTGGGCTAGAGAAATGGCTCAACGGTTAAGAACACTGGCTACTCTTGCAGAGGACCCAGGTTTGGTTCCCAGCACCCACATGGTAGCTAACAACTATCTGTAACTCCAGTTTCAGGGGACCAGACGCCCTCTTCTGATCTCCATGGGCATTGCACAAGATGGGTACAGTTACATACATGCAGGCAATACACTCATACAAATAAAATTAAAGTACTAAGTAAAAACTTTTTAAAAAAAAAAGATTTTTTTGATCTGTGCACACCCCAGACCAGGGAGCTCTCCCAGCTGGACCTGTCAATCATCCAGCAGCTACCAGGCCCACCCTGCTGTTCCAGGACCCTAAAGAGTCAGTCCTGGAACAGCAGACTGAGAAGTTGGACCTACCCTAGCTGAACTGAAAATACATCTTACACTCCATTCACACGTCAACATAAAGTGACCCAAAGACTGAATACCAGGACACCTCTCAGCTGGGCCACACATGACAAGTTGGGGAAACAGCAAGTGAACAAAGATACAAACACCCACTCAGCAAAGACAAGGTCACTGACACACCAGGAAACACCGCGGACAACACTAGTCCCGATGCCTAGGTCTCACTGAAAAATCACAAACATGAATAACC